CCCAACTCCGGGAGGCCATGGAAGACAGGAGGGCCTGGTGTGCTCTGGTCCGTGGGGTTACGAAGAGTTGGACACGACTTAACGACTAAACAACAACACCCCCAAAATAAGCCCTAGTTAAGTGAAAGCCAACCCTCTATCCTTGTGCAGCAGCCAGAAGATGCAATGACTGTAAAATAAAACATCCCCTGAAAATAAGCTCTAATGTGTTTTTTGGAGCAAAAATTAATATAATATCCTGTCTTATTTTGGGGAAAACATGGTAGATTTCAGCCACTACTGTATAGAAAGCATCCTTTTAAGGAAGATGTGACCACAGTCAGCTGCAGGTCCAGAGCTTACATAAGGAAGTAAGATCACAGAATCATAGAACCACAGAGCAATTCTGTTGGAAGGGTCTACTCAGTGCAGGAATCCAAATCAAAGTAGGTCTTGCAGAGGGTTGTCCCATTTTCTCTACGACGCCTCCTGTGTCGAAGCACTTGCCAACTCTCAAGATAATGGGTTCCATGGTCATCCTACTCTAAGAGTCATGAGTTCTCCCCCCCCCCGATATTTAGCCAAAATCTGGCTTCCTATAACTTGAGCCCATTATGATGTGTTCTGCACTCTGGGAAGGATCAATAACAGATCCTGTTAAGGTGCAATAGTACGGAGCTGCTTAGGCTAGAGTTGGGCAAGATCTGTTCTGCGGGCCTGCACACATTTCAGCACCTCTGGGTCTCAAAGGTTCTGTTCCCCTGGAAATAAATATATTTTTAAAAAATTGCTCAGAAACACGTGACTCATAGAACATGGGGGGGCAATAATTCCCCCAATTTGGGGCCCCCGCAGCACCCTAGTTCCCTCACTGCTTTTTTTAATGGGCACTAGAGGGTGCAAAACGACTATCTCGATTTTTTTTTAAAAAAAGTTCTGGGAAGGTCATATGAACTCCCTCCACCACTCATTTAAGCTTAGACAGCTTAGACAGCCCCCCCCACTTGTTGCTACTTTTGTCTGTTAAAAAAACTGAGATCAAATGCTTTACCTCTTACTCCTGTCACTCTTACTGGATAAAATACTCTACAGCAGACCTGGGCAAAGTGCGGCCCGAGGGCCGCATACGGCCCCGCGAGCCGCTCCTGTCTGGCCCGCCAGACATCAAAACCATTTATAGCTTTTTATCCAAAGTTGATCAGTTGCTTATCTTTAACATACTGCAAAAAAAAAAAAACCCTTTTTAGTATTTGTAAAGATTAACAAGTTTAAAATAAAAACAATCCTAACATCACTGTTTCATTTTATTTTTGAGTAAAGTTGGTTCGGCCCCCAAACGCAGTTCAGATTTTTCATGTGCCCCCCCTACACCAATTAATTGCCCACCTTTACCCTACAGGCTGAAACTTTTGATTGATCCTCTTACTTCTCACACCTGACTCAAAAGGGTCCAATATTGTAAAGAGAATATCTGTGGGATGTCCGCTCTCCTTGCCTGTGTAAGGTGCTTCCTTTCCCTCCAATTTAAGTAGTGTGGAAATGATTGTATTGCACCAAGAATTAGAATGAAATGCACACACACACACACGCACGCACACGCACGCACACGCACACACACACACACACACACCTTTTTAACCAATAGCATGAAGAGATCTGTTAATAGCCAAGTGGCCAGTTACAAAAGGTGCTGCCATGTCTGAGAAGCCATCCTAAGTATTCTAATTTACAATTAATGCACTTCCCCACAGTTGATGGAGACGTAATTAGCAAAGCTGCTCTTGAACTCCTAAAAACTAATGTTGAACAAAAGGCTTTGAAACATTTTTTCTTTTTTTCTTTTGTACAGACCGTTTCTACCTACTCAAGTAAGCATTGGAGTTAAACTAATTAGAAATTGGCGTATTGAATGGATCCTTAATTAAAAGGGCAGAACTTGTTTGGAGACAAAGTTAAGATTGCTTGGTCAAAAATAAAAGGAAGGAGAAGAAATTCCAAGTCCCCAGTGTAACATAATTGGCATCCAAGCACCTATATCGGCCCTGCTGTACTTCAAGTTCTTCAGAAACCGCCTCTCATTTGCCTTTCTTTTGTCATCTTCTTGTATTTTTAAAAGTTGGAATCAGGAATATCTGTCACAAATACGCTGTTTCGCAGACTAACACAAATTGTACACAAACCATTTTAAAAATACAAACAACTAAGAAAATGGACATTTGAAAACCAAATATAAACATGCTTCATTCAGTGGAGAAATACAAAGAAATGCATATACTTGAAAATATGCAAAAAGAAGTGGGGCAAAAAATCCCACAAAATATGCATAAATTTCCATGCATCATTTTTTTTTAAAAAAAGTCTCATAACCAGATATAAAACCACAGCAGGATTCTAAAAAATTCTGAAAAACATATCAAAGAATTCTGAAAAACATATCAAAGGCATGGCTGACAGATTTTTCACATAACTAGTTGCAAGATATGGGTCGCTTTCACACTCATATTGTTCCAAGCTGCATGTCAGCCACTCTCCCCATGCTCATAGGGGGAAAATCTGAATTCTCCTGGATACATACCGTAATTTAGGAATGTAGAAAGTCTGCGCATAAGATCACATGTCCATCTGGCTTACTAGGAATTGGATTTTCAGAGTTCTTAAACTAGATATCCCACAATTTCTCATTCTATGCATTCTACCTGACTGACATGCAGCTTATAGACACCCAAATGTGGCTCACCTGGGAGAAACAGTCTAAACTGGAAAGACTTTGAGATTTAATATATTCGCGAAGGCTATCACGGCCGGGATCTAATGGTTGTTGTGGGTTTTTCGGGCTGTTTTGCTGTGTTCTGAAGGTTGTTCTTCCTAACGTTTCACCAGTCTCTGTGGCTGGCATCTTCAGAGAACAGCACTCTGTGCTCTGGTGTAGTTGGTTTAGGGAGTGCAGTATTTATGGCTGTTTGTTGTGTATTGTTGTGCTAAGGAAAAGAGATTATCTGTTCCTGTGGTTAATGGGTGTCATTAGCTGGTCTTTTGAATGTAGTGATCCCCTGTCCTTGTGGCTGGGTAGAGTTCGTTGACCTTTTGCACACTGTATTTTTGAGAGCTGGGAGCCAAGTTTTGTTGAGCTTCACACTTTCCTCTTTTTTGTTGAAGTTTTGCTGGTGCTTGTGGATTTCAATGGCTTCCCTGTGCAGTCTGACGTAATGATTGCTGGTGTTGTCCAGTATTTCAGTATTTTGGAATAGAATTTCATGTCCAGTTTGTTTCAGGGCATGTTCAGCTACTGCAGATTTTTCTGGTTGTTTTAGTCTGCAGTGCCTCTCTTGTTCTTTGATTCTGGTGTGAATGCAAAGCCATTGTTGCTGTCCTCTGAAGATGCCAGCCACAGAGACTGGCGAAACGTTAGGAAGAACAACCTTCAGAACATGGCCAAAGAGCCCGAAAAACCCACAACAACCAACTTTGAGATTTAGCTAGGCCTTGCTTGACCCAAGCTTCCTGTTCCTGCCCCAATGATTGCTAGGAATGTTATTTCTGAACAGGAAGCTAGATGGAGCTAGGCCTAGCTGAGCTTCATAACCTTCAATTTAAGGTCTTTCTTTCAACTTAAGCCACATATTTGTGTCTCTCCAAGAGAACTCCCAGAATGGGGAATCATTTGTGGTCCAGAAATCTGAAAATCTCATCTCTATGTCTATTATTTTTATCACTGGCTGTCCAGGACTCTGGCAGACTGACATCCTTCCCATCATTGCTATAATTTTAGCTAGAGATAATGGGAGTTGAAACTAGGTCTTTCTGCATTAAAAACTGTATGTGTCCTGCTAGCAAACTGTGGCCTTTCCCTTAAGATGCAAGATCAAAGGAAGTTGCATCAGACTGTCTGTACAGTTCAAAATCATTTACACTGACTGGAAGCAGGTTTCCCATCATCTGCTATGAGTTCTGTTTAGCTCAAGATGAAGGGGGGCTTGAAGCTTCTACAATGCAAAGCCATTGTGCTATCACTAAACGATGGCCCCTTCCCTCCATTCAGGAAGATCCAGTACTAGCTGATTGGTTAAAACCACACTAGGAAAATATTACCATAAACTGACAATGCCAATAAAATGGCAAGTGTCTTCGATAGTGGGTTGGGTCCAAACTTAACTATGTTTACAGTAGGCCAGTGTGATGTAGTCGAGAGATTGATGGACTAGGTAGGACTCAGGAGACCTGAGTGTGAATCTCCATTTGACTATGAAGACTCAAGGGGGCAGGTAGAACGGGTAAAACCATTCCTTTAATATGTTACTTTCCTTGAAAGCCATATTAGAGACATGCTAAGTCCTCTCAGAATTGATGGAAAATAACACACCCACATTGAAATGAACAAGGCTAGATAGTCATGACTATTGAGTTCCATGGGTCTACTCAAAACAAGACCAGGTTTGGAGCCAATCCGGCATGCTATGTCTTTCCAGTAGGGGTTTGCCCTCAATCAAAATTGAGCCACTAGCCCTTTTAGAATTGTATAAAGTCAAGATATTCCCAATACACAGAGGAAAAGCCAAAATAACCTACAAAAACACTTAAATCTAAATCCAGTTGCTAGTCCCATCTAGCAAAGAGACATCCTGAATCAATGGGATTTATACTGCTTACTATTGAATGTATGGGTCTGCTCTGTGTAGGGTGAGTAATTCAATTTCGTTCATAGATATTTTTCTTTTTGGAAAATATTTATCTGAGGAAGTGATTGCAAGCCATAAAAGCTTGTGGTGAAACCCATCGTTTAGTCTTTACGGCGCCACAATACTTTTGGCTTTTTTAAAAAAAATGTTTTCATTTGATGTATTCGCGAAGGTTCGACATACTTTCTTTTCAGATGATCAATGCAAAAACTGCATTGATGAACGACGACTCCGAACGAACATGGCAATGGAAAGAATATATTGCAATATGTTCCCAATAAGGAGAGCTTTTATGCAGTAGCAGGAAACAAATATGGCTACAGATAGTAGGTGAAAAGGACTCACCACAGTTTGATGATTGACCTGGATCACTTCATCTCCTGCATGAATTTTCTTACACTGGTCTGCTGGAGACTAAAGGCAAGAGAAAAGATGGAGAAAGGAACTTGACAATATGAAGGAGTACCGTTTTTGTTACTGTATTATTTAAACATCTATACTATGGTTCCCTAAACAACATCACTCTATCGGAACACCTTAGTGGCTGGTGTTATCAGGCAGGAGAAAAGCAAAGTTTCTGTTGCCCACTGGCTAATTACATCAGTTAGATTAATTTAGCAGTATAATGCAGAAGGAACTATTGCAACAGTTAAGAAAAAGGCAGTGGTAAAAAAAATCCAAAGGCATTTCTCACTAGGTAGATATGGAAACTGGAGGAGCTGCTAACACCATTAGTTCCTTTGAAGGATAACCCAAGTATACCCTGTATAGGCCTGTATTTAAGACTTCTCTCAGAGATAAACCTCCTTGATTCATTTGTCCTTCCACAAGAAGAGCAGCTATCTCATTGTATTTACAAGAAACGTTTCACAGTCTTAATTTTTATATGAGTAAGGTCCTTTGGAGAACACAAGGAACTTATCGTGTGGGGCAGTTCCTTCAAGACTTTGGAAGCACCGGTGCTTGACCGGATCTCCTGTCTTGAGAGAGAACTTGCTCATTCTTACGGGTTCCCATCAACCCAGCAAACTTTCTGCTGAGCTGTGAGAGAGGGCTTGTTTCATGAAAAGACGGAAGCTTAGGTTAATGCCCTGAGCTACGCTTCCACCTGTCTGGGGTCACAACTCCACAAGCCTCTCCCTTGCATGGTCAGTGGTAAAGGACAATGAAACATGACGCTCCAGATATTTACATGGCAAGGCTGACTATCTTTGGTTCCATTTTCATTAGGCATCCTTCAGTCTCGAGAGACTACGGTAACGTGCTCTGTATGGAGGACTTGGAACAGCGTCTAGTGTGGCTGAGGAGGCCGATTCGAGAGTGACCATCCCTTCCACACTGAAGACAAATACAACCTGTCCCCCGTCCAGCTCCCTGATTTTGCTGCTTCCGGGACTGCCTCTTTGACTTGGCCTGCTGGACAAGGGTCTCTTCAAATTGGGAGAGGCCATGATAGGTCCATCATCTCCAGGCTGAATGCTCAGAGGTCTGGGTTTCCCATCTGTTGAGGTCCATTCCTAAGGCTTTCAGATCCCGCTTGCAGATCTCCTTGTATCACAGCTATGGTCTCCCTCTGGGGCGATTTCCCTGCACTAATTCTCCATACAGGAGATCTTTTGGAATCCGACCATCAGCCATTCTCACAACATGCCCAAGCCAACATAGACGGCGCTGTTTCAGTAATGTATACATGCAAAAAAATTCCAGCTCATTCTAGGACTACTCTATTTGGAACTTTGTCCTGCCAGGTGATACAAAAAACATGTCAGAGACAATGCATATGGCTTGTGTTCAGCTTCCTCTCCTGCTGTGCACAAAGGGTCCAGAACTCACTGCAGTACAGGAGTATACTCAGGACACAGGCTCATCTTTGGTTCCAACCATCTGATAAAACAAGCTTCATTGCAACTACTTTTTCACTCATAATTAGCCTCCAAACAGCTGCTGAGAAGACACGCTGTTTCAGTTCTATATGAATGTTTTTGAAATACTAAGGATTTATAATGGTGGGGCATTCATTCCGTTTTGTTGAAGTAGTTCACCAATGTTCTCTTATCAACTGATGACGCAGCTTTCAACAAAGGCACAAACTGACCATGTGGAAAATGCTCAGAGATTCTGGCCAGGATATGAATGGGAATGGATCACACAAGTCATTGTTCCATAAGAATTTTCCACAACGCTGTTATCTTCTTCATACATTCAGTGGAAAGAACTTGGAAATTATTCAGCAGCATCTTCCTGCACATACATTTTTCTTTCTCCCCACCCTGAGAATTATGAAATGTTTGCATTTTCATAAATTACTTCCTCAGTTGGCAAAAAGAAAGTGAAAATATTCTCTGCCATCTTTCCCCTGCTTCTGACATTAGGTCGGCATAAAAGCTCCACCTTTTAATTTCTGTTCATCAAGTGTGGCCTATTTATATGCATCAATTTGATTTACAGTATATTCCTCCTTTATCCCAAAACTGGGATCCAAGGCATCCCACAAGATTAGAAGGAGGTTAAAAACAAACATTAACATGTACAATGTTACAAAAGAATTAAACAGTAATGTTAAAATACAGTCCTGTTGAAAGCACTTTGAAAACACATAAAAAAGATAAAGCCAATCTAAAGACCCATGTCTCAGCAAAGGGCTACTTTGAGTAAACAGGTTTTTGTCTGATGGTTGTTGTGGGTTTTTTGGGCTCTTTGGCCATGTTCTCAAGGTTGTTCTTCCTAACGTTTCGCCCGTCTCTGTGGCCGGCATCTTCAGAGGACAGGAGCTATAACTCTGTCTGTGCTCTGGTGCAGTTTGTTTGGGAATTGAGTATTTCTAGCTGTTGGATCAGCTTTGTCCTTTTCAGGAGATGGGTGTTTATGGTGATCAGTGTGTTTATGTTGTGGGAGTATTGTTGTGATAAGAAGGAGAGATTATCTGTCACTGTGATTGATGGGTGTTGTCAGCTAGTCTTTTGTGTGTAGTGATCAAATTTTTGTATGTCAGAAGAAGAAGGATGCAGAGAGCCCGAGGAATTCTATATCCTGGGAGCAACCACCAAGATGGGTTTGCTGGTGGGCAAAGGAACACCTTCCTGTGAGCCGCTGCTCAAGCATCCTTCACCACCAGGTCTCTCAACTGCATTAACCTGCTAAAAAGGAGCACCTATATGCATGTAGTGCTTCCTTGTCAGAGGAGGAATCAAAAGAATAAGTTGAACAAGTGTGTAAATAGGTATCGGAAGTAAAAAAAAAGACTACTGTAAAATAAAGAAGTATAATACGGGGTTGTTTCATGACAGATCACCACATTTTTTAAAAAAAAGTTGCTTCTGGAGCCCTTCCAAGATTAGGGGCCTTGAAGCTTAAGCTTCATCGATTTTATAGTACAGTAGGACCCCCATATCCACTGGAAATTGGTTCCAAGTCCCCCGTGGATACTAAAAATCATGGATAATAGTGAATGCTATCTATAGCAGGGGAAAAGGGGAAAAAACAAAAACAGAAAAACATATTTTCACATGCAGCATCAAAACTGGTCACTAGAGGGCGAAAGACACCATGCTATCTATTCTTCATTAGCAAGTATTCATAGCACTGTATCTGGCTTCCTCTAATGTCCAGTTCTGGTAACATATAAAAATAGATAAAATAGATTTTTTCAGATTTTTTAAATTTTAATATTTATAATATTTTCAGATTGTGAATAACTGAATCAGTGGATACTGGTCCCGTGGATAAAGGGGGCTCTACTTTAGATCTGTCCCTGGACCCATGCCTCGTTCACCATGAGTAGGCGTGTGCAAACCCATCCTTCAATTTTTCCCAACACAAGCCATAAAGTTTTTGGCATTGTATTCCATCTTTTCTTTTTCCTCCATGTTTGCTCCCCCCCACCTGCCCATCTCTTGACTCTGACCCAGCTTCCCCCCCCNTTTTCAATTATATCATAGCCGGGGTCAATTATTCCTTCAAAAGAGAAGCCAAATCAATTGGTTGAAGTGCCAGAAATGAAATGCCTTTGATGTTGCTTTTATTTCGCTCCACAATAGGAGCAGAAACAAACCTCCCACAACAAGCTGCCCCACTTCCCAAATGGCAGCCCCCAAAGAAGGGAGGACATGAAAGATTTACAGCTTTCATTTGGTTGACTGGCAAATTTCTCTTATTAAAAAATGTATAAGCTTTTTAACCAGCCATGCGGCCTCTCTCTGCTCTCCCTAGTTCCCTCACACCAGCCCTGTTTCTGCCCTTAATAAAATATTTTGTCTTCCGCAGCGAACATCCTGGGGAGCGGGAGGGTGGGATCCTTGAGCAGATGATGTACAACTGATTTTGGCTACAGCCCACCACAGGTTAGTTGATTTGGAAGACACCATACAATGTGTTGAAATGCCAGAAGGGTGTGACTCAAGGAGACACTTGGAGAAACAAAGAGAATTGTACTGTATGTGTAAGAAGACAGAAGAAGAAGCAAAAAGACCGAGCACACGCTGGCAGCAAATGGAATGCAAGTCTTTCTACATCTAGCGTAAGCGAGCTTCAAAAGCCCAAAATGATGTCGTTTTTTTTAAAAAAAAAAGACTTAGCCTCTCTTCAGAAGCAACCAGAAATACCATCTATAATGTTTAATTATCCAGTCTAACAGAAGGACCTCTGCTTGGAATAGATGTTTTGTATGTTCCCGTTTCAATTAATTTTGTGGCCTAAAGCATATATAAAAATTAGCTTTGAAGGGGGGGGGAGGGAAGGAGAGGAAGCCTGTAAAGAAAAATGCATCCCTTTACAAGAAGGAAATGTGATAAATAGTTTCTCAGCGACTGAGGAAAGGACAACACCGGGCGACATTGCCCGAAATGAGGGCAATGATCAAATGCTGCAAAAACCACAAATAAATTCATCTAATATCTGGTATGAACACCTTTTGGAAAAAAAACACTGCAATTTTTTTTCAGAGAAAGTACCTTTTGGATATATAAGGGATACAACATCCCTTAGACCAGTGGTCACCAAACGTGAGCCTCCAGATGTTCTTGGACTACAACTCCCCCCCTTATCAGCTGAACTTTCCCCCTTCAACTGATAATTATGCTTTAAGATTTTATGCAGAGCCATTTTAATCCTGAGCTCATTTCTTTGGGGACACTGGGTTGGATCAAGACTTGGTCATGGTGAGAATCGAACCACTGAAATCAGTGGAATTTTATGACTCGCAACTACTTAAGTCCCATTAATCTGATCCAGTCTCACAAGACTAGGTCCAACTCATGCTTCTTTACTAAAACAACTAGGATTGTGAGGTTTAGCCTGGGAAGAGTTAAAATATTGCACTTAGATCCAGAAAGAATCAAGGTGGGAGCTAGCAAACCATTTTCATGCTTGGTCTAAGGCAGTGGTCCCCAACCGTGGGCCTCCAGATGTTCTTGGAC